AATTTGTTAGTCTCTAAGGTGCCACAAGTACTCCTGTTCTTTTTGAGGGTACAGGTAGGGACCTAGGGGGCCAGTTAGGATGGGGGGAGGGTCTCAGGAGGGGGCAGTCAGGGGACAAGGAGCGGTGGGAGGGTTGGGGGTTCTGAGGGGGTAAGTGGGGGGCAGGGGCGGGGCTAGGGCAGGATGGGGCGGGGCTAGGGCGGGGCTCCTCCCGTCCTCTTTTTTGCTTGCTGAAATATGGTAACCCTAGATTTGAACCCTTCCACCTCCACTAACTTTGACTCCAAGCTGTCTAATTATTAGTGTGACAGTAAAAGAACCATCTTCCTAAGACCAACTGAACTCCACACTCTGAGAAACAGTCAGCAAGGCCTCTGGAAAGCAGCTAAATCAGGGAAACAGAAATAATACAATATGACTTAAATTATATGACGACTTGTCCCAACCAACCCAGTTTGCAACTAGAAAATGCACTGTGAAACCAGCTCAGCATTTGTATGGGCCTCCAAAGAGTGGCGACAATACTGTGCTTATTTCTCTCTTCATGCCGACTGCCACACTCACTTCACTGCATGCCCAGTGTGTTCATCTCCCACTGCCAAGTTCTATTTTCATAGAAATGCCACAAACTCATTTTTAGTTTTGTTATGACTATTTCACACAGCTCCACCTTCTAGTGGCTTCAGTGCATTGAACCTAGCCGTTCTCAACTTTTTCCATACTACGACCCCATGTTACAAAAGAAGAATTTCTGGACCCACTTCCATCTTGCCATAATACCCCTAGACTTGTTTGCCACCTGCTGCACCCAGGGTCCAGCAAAATAAAGAAGGCCTGAGATTTCCTTAAATATACACGTCCTCCTAGCAAGCTCTTGGTCCAATGGGTCTGATATTCAAATACTAACGTTTTAGCATTGTGTGGTCTACTTAATCTAGCTCCTGATTGGTAAATATCAGAATGCAATTTTTGGTGTTCTCTTCCTGGCTTGAACGAGACAGTCTAAGTTCATTAACAGTGGAGCTGAGCAAATAACTCACAGCAAATAATTTATTTGCTGATTTTCACTCAGGGGATCACAGTTTCCTCACACTTAGTCATTCTCCACATTTATTCAATTCATGTTATAGGGTTGCTGGGTTTTTTTAAGTGAACTTTGTGGCTTTATAATGAAGAATTTGCTGCCAGCATTTGATGCTTGATATGCAAAATCTGAGTTGTGTTGATTGTCTGATATTGGGCGCATAAGCCACATGCTTTTGTCTCCTGTGCCTTTTGGGGTGAGTGTAACTGATGGAATCAACAGCAGGGCTTGAAGTAGCACCTCAGGGAGAAAGAGCAGATAAACAGGATTAGGGGGTTTGCAAAAATCAAACCCTTCCTTTTGTGTGCCGCCCAGGCACTCCTTGAGATGTGGTTGCTAGGAACATCAGGCTATTGTAATGTTTATTGGATGAGCACAGAGTGGCCCATTCATTTTTCTGTTGTCATGCTGGCACAAAGTAACTGCCCAGGGGTTAAGGGTTTGTTCAGGTCCTTGTTTGGCTAGTTTAACTGGGGAGGGGATTTGGGAACTCTACATCTCTGCTGCCCCATTGCATATTATTAAAAATACTCCAGTCTGGTGTGAGCAGTTGAGCTTTCAGCTTCACTTTAACTTTCTGCCAGTGACTATGACATTGCTCAAAAGTCCCTGGAAAGAGACTATAGAAGGGGCTTGAGCAGCGCCAAAGAAAATTCACCTTGAAATCAGAGCACAAATGCCAGGACATGTTTTGTAGTATTCACCCAACTCCAGTACATTTGCCGTACTGGTGCTGCCTTCTGAAATACAGGCTGATCCCTTAGCCAGCTTTGCATTAGCCCTATCTACAGAAAAGCACTTGTTTTAGCTGTCTGAGGACTTCAATGGGATTGACATGGTGTGGTGCAGATATGTGTCAGAGTTGCTGAGAGACCACAGCTGTCTCTTCATAGGGTATGTCTATATTACCCACTGGATCAGCGGGCAGCGATCGATCCAGCAGGGGTCAACTTATCACGTCTAGTCTAGATGCGATAAATCGACCCCAAGTGCTCTCTCGTCAACTCCTGTACTTCACCACCGGGAGAGGCGCAGGCAGAGTCGATGCGGGAGTGGTAGCAGCTGACTCACCGCAGTGAAGAGACAGCGGTGAGTAGATCTAAGTACGTCGACTTCAGCTACGTTATAGCAGCTGAAGTTGCATAACTTAGATCGATCCCCACCCCCGACCCCTCCAGTGTAGACCAGGCCTAAGCTTGGATCTTTTATAGTTCTCCAAGGAGAGAATTAACTCAGCAACGCAGCAGTGTCTCCTTTCAGCTGGCAGGCCTCCAGCTCCCCTCCCCTGCCCTTTCCTCCCAAGTCCTGTATATGCCAGCTACAGAGAGCTGAGCACTTTTCCTACTTATCCCAGTCTGGTAAAGAAACTCCTCTTTGGAATCCAGGCCGAATTTAAAAGGTCATATGATGACTATTCACTACTCACCCTTCCTTTCTCAAACGGATTAGGTGTAAAAGTAACAATTTTAAAAAGGCATCAAGAGATAGGACCAACAGTCACAAAGTCACAGCACTTTCACCCAGTGTAGGGGTGAAGTTTCATGCTATCTTGGAGTGAGTTCTTTCAGATCAAGCACATTGCGAAACCAACCATTCTCTGTATACCCTCTTTACACCCCTTCCCTCTTGGGAAAAATATCAGATGATGCTACTGGCAAAACTTTTGAAAGTGTGTAAGGCTCAGATTTGTAAAGTGATTTAGGTGTTCCTATGCTCAGTGTCATCCCAACAGCTAACTGATTTAGGAGCTTAAATGGCATTTTCAAAAGGGATTTAGGAACTTAGGAGTCTAAATGCCATTGACTGTCTCCCAAACCTGTGTTCTGGACTCTGGCACAAAAGATCCCAGGGTGGCATGTTCAAACTGGGGAGTCTAAAGTTAGGCCAGGCCAGATTTCCAAAGGTGCCTCAAGATGAAGCTAGGTGTCTACCGGGGTTTACAAAGTCATATGCATAGGTTAGTCCCATAGCTCCCATTAGAGTCAATGGGAATCAAGCTACAAACTTATTCAGGTGTGTCTGAACCTTCCAGAAGGTGCCAACATGTATTTTTGGGCACCTAAATACCTTTGATAATATGCGGCCTAGGGTATGATCTTGGCATTTGGGGATATGTTTGGTTAGAGCAGGGCACAGAACAAAATCCAGTAATGCATTGCAACTTCATCTGCATTTGGTTCTAGATAACAATGTGAGATCCTTCCATTTCTTGCCAGAATCAATTCTGCTTTGCATTTGGCAGCAATACCGATTCATAAGGAATTTTTTCTTTGACGCTAAGTCCCCTGCTGTTTTTCTGCAACACTCCGAACTCTTCTACAAAGGCTATAAGTGGAAATGCATGGAAAGCCCCTGGCCAAGCCTCGCTGCTGCTGCATGTTTGAAGGGTGGTGTTGGATGTGAGCTCTGCAGCACACTCACCTGCTGGCTGTCTTGGTAAGGGGGAGGGGGCACACTCTGTGTGGCCATCATTGTCAGAGCTGGTGCTGGGGAGACATGTTGCATCATGGGATTGAGTCACATCTAGAACCTGTTGATGGGAGAAAGTTCAGCTTGATTAACAAAAAAAAAAAAAAAAAAAGGAAGCTTCTGCCATTAGAATTACTCAGACTCAAAGCAGTTCAGTACTGACACTCTAAGATGGCTGTGTTTTGTTGTTGTTTGAAGTGGCATAGTTGTGCTAATTGTACAAATCCAAAATCCTGACTCCAAGCCACACTATGAAAACACAAATCCATCTCCTCGCTATTCAGGAGGTGATCATGTTGCCAAAGGAAACTGAGTGAGAGGGAGACTGTCCTGAAATATTTCAAGCTTGTGATCAGCTCAGGCCTGAAATATTAGTCAAAACTAGGCGTACGAGCATTGTTATTGTTCATTGCCAATTGCCAGAATGCTTGGTACAAACTCTTGCTTTATTGTGAGAGTAAACAAATACGGAGCCATTCATCAACTGTACTTTAAAAAATATTTCTATAGCTTCATGCACATTCTCCCCACAGGTAGGCCCCATTTATCTTGTGGCATATCAGCCTGGGACTAACATTACTCACAGTACAACTTGCAACAATATATTTGAAAATCTGTCAAGAGGACAGAAGAGTACAGGGTCACCAATTAGTCAAACATTGAATGACTAAGTCAGTTTCATTCCCATCTGCTGTCATCTGATTCAAAACCTTTCCAAACATATCCATTTATAGTATTAAAAAATAACCCTACACAATGTTAAATCTAGGAGATTTAATCTAGGAGATTTACTGCTTTAGGCAAACTGAAAAATCTCTCTACCTTTTTACATATCATCATGTAATAGACATATAGAGACGACATCCTTTGCTCCCCAGGTAACCATTCTGGTCCTGTTAACCAGAGCAACTCCACCCCAGGGCTGCTCTTGTTAACAGGATCACTTCCTCTCAATATTTCCTCACTTGCAGTTAGGCTCATAGTTATTTGCATCCCACACAGGACCAGCTCCAGCTTTTTTGCCGCCCCAAGCAGCAAAGGAAAAACAAAACAAAACGATTGAGCTGCCGCGGAAGTGCTGCTGAAGATGAAGAGAGGGACTGAAGGACCCGCTGCCAAATTGCTGCCGAAGACCCAGACATGCCGCCCCAATAACGGACAGAGTGCCGCCCCTTTTTATTGGCCGCCCCAGGCACCTGCTTCCTTCACTGGTGCCTGGAGCCGGCCCTGTGTGGGATGCAAATAACTATGAGCCTAACTGCAAGTGAGGAAATATTGAGAGGAAGTGGTCCTGTTAACAAGAGCAGCCCTGGGGTGGAGCGCCTGCCTAGCAGGGCTTCAGAACCATCCATCAGGCTCTCAGAGACCATGATGGAGGATGCAATATAGGAATGTAGACAGACAGGCAGACTCTGGGCAACAGGTTTTCGGGTTGGCAGAGACCAGACACTTAGTTATTTTTTTGATACTGAACAAAAGCCATGGAGGGAAAGCCTCCAAGCTTGTGGACAGTAAATATTTGTTGGAGTGTAAAACCTTCAAAAGATTTCACCATTGCAATAGTCTGGTTTTGACTCATAATGATCTGGAAAAAGGAGTAAATAGTGATGTGGCAAAATTTGCAGAGGATACAAAATTACTCCAGATAGTTAAGTCCAGAGCAGACTGCAGATCTCACAGAACTGGGTGATTTGGCAACAAAGTGGCAGATGAAATTCAATTTGATAAATTCAAAGTAATGAACATTGGAAAACAATCTCAATTATACACACAAAAAGATGGGGTCTAACTTAACTAATACCACTCAAGAAAGAGATCTTGGAGTCATTGTGAATAATTTTCTGAAAACATCCACTCAATGTGCAGCAGCAGTCAAAAAAGCTAACAGAATGTAGAAGGAGATACATTCATTCATCCTTTACTATCAGGACAGAGGAGAAGAAGGGAATTTGTAATCATTCACTGTAGAATGCTGGAGAACTTCTACAAAGAAATCAAAGACACAATGTGTCAAGGTGATGGGTGGGGAAAGGCAGTGGCCCTAGGGACTATTGTCAGGCTGTTCTAACCTGCACTAGGGTCAGGGCAGAGAACTCACTCCCCAGTGCCTCTCCTCTCAGGGGCAGTCAGTGGGAGCTGAGTGCTGTGAGAACAAAAACACTCTGGCTTGTGTGGATTTTAACTAGCTTTAAAGTCTATAGGGTAGCAAACAGAGTGACGGTAATGGGCAGCCTCCTTATCCAGAAGGTAGAGAATCGGGCAGAGGAAAACTCCTCTTGAATCTACCTCTTGTTAAGAGAAATGAATTGTTCATGACTGTGGAAATAATCCGTAGGCTTGCTAGCAGTGACCATTAATTTAGCATTATATGAACTGAGAACACCGGATGATAAGAGCAACTGGAAAATAAGAGGCAAAAATAAAGCTAGCCTTATTCATAAATAAGGGAGCAAGCAATATCAGCAATGGCTCTGAGATGGCCAAATATGGAGGTACAGAATCTAAAATAATGTATTCCAAAAAGGCAGACTGAGAGGAAGGATGGACTCAGGGTGGGTGTTCCCTCTAATTTTTCCCACCCATGTGCGGAATGAATTTTCTTATGTGTACCAAGATGGAGATGATGTGTAACACGACTTTAGCAAAGCTTTTGATATGGTTTCCCATAGTATACTTGCTGGCAAGTTAAAGAAGTATGGGCTGGATGAATGGACTAGACGAAGGTTTCTGACCGTTAGAGGGGTGAAATATTGGAACGGCCTTCCGAGGGAAACGGTGGGGGCGAGGGACTTGTCTGGCTTTAAGATTAAGTTAGATAAGTTTATGGAGGGAATGGTTTAATGGTAAAACATAGTTGTCAAGGAAAACCAAGCAATGGTAGGTAAATAGCATAATGACTATAAGGGGTCAGGATGGAGACTCTTGCCTATATGCTCGGGGTTATCACCCAGGGGAGGTGGGACTCCCCAGCACTGCCAC